ATATAAATGTAGGAAGTGTTTCTTATTCCAGAGGATGATATGCTAAAAAATAAATGGAATTGATTGCATACACAATCAGAAAAAGAATACCTTAATAGCACTGAATTGAAAAATATATAAAAGAAAATACCAAATAATAACACGAAAATAAAAATAAAATCAGAAAATAACAGTAGAAAATAAAGGTTAAATTCTAAGTATTTACAACTAAAAATTAGAAAGTAAAACAACTAAAACAAAAAAATAAAGATAAAGAGCTAATAACTAGCAACAAAGAAAAATCAAATTTAAACCTAAAAATGAAAAATGACAAATGTCGCACAAAAAGTGCTTTGTTGAAATCAACAATTCCCGATAACGACGCTAAAATCTTGACGAATTCTCGACAAGTGTACCAATAACGTTAAAGTAATAATAAAAGTCGTCTCCATGGAGATTGTAATTTAACAAGAAAATTGTGTGACATGTTAAGTAATTAGGGGGGGGGGGGGGGTCGTTTGAGAAATGGATCTAAAATGAGAATGTAAAAGATGAAATTCAAGATGCGAAGGGCGATTAGGATTGTATTATCGAATCCCCTTATTTTTACCTATCGATGAACTATGTACCTATTGGATTTCAATTATATTATTATTGAAATTCTGACACTTACATAATATGGAAGAACTGATGTTACAAACATCAGAATATAATGTCATGACGAATGTTATAACATCTGGCTACAGACTGAATAGCAATACCAAACTGATATATTATGCAGAATTATAAACACAGAATGATAAAGAAGACAGTCAATTGCTAAGCCAATTCGTTGCAACTCACCTACATCTGGGGCTAACCAAGTCAGGAAGGAAATCAACTATTAGCAGCATTAATTCGAAGCTAAACTCCCCCGTTTACAATCTCTCACTTAATCCCTACCCATTGTAATCTCTACCTAGGCACTTCCTAGATATGAGAATCCACTCACTTCCAATCACCGTAGTGATATCAAACTCCCAATCACAGGAAAAGACAATCTCAATCCAAGGAACTTCCAGAAATAACATACTTCTCAAGTACAAAGAAAGACAATCCCAAACCCAGGAACTCCCAGGAAGAACATACTTCCAAGTTACAAATACTTAGTTAAGAATATTAACTAAACAATACTTAGGTTTCTTAAAAGCTTCCACCAAGAACAATACTCAACTTTTTGCTTTAAAGCTTAGAGGAGAACAATATTCAACTCATTACCTAAAGGCTTCTGAGTGAGAACACTACGTCTACCACAAGTATCAAATGATACAATGGTGACTTACACCACAATGAACACGAGAGACTCTCAAACCTAACCATTATTTTACAAATTGTTAAGAACTATTTTACCCTAGGTCTTGGTCTTCCTTTTATAAGCCTTCAAATGTTCATGGGCTTCGAAGTCTCTGCCCAAATATTCCTTAATCCATGCATTGATTGCTGCAGAGAAAATCTCCTTAAATCTTGGAACAAATCTTCAAGTACTCTAAATTAGATCAACAACCAGATTTAGAAACTTTTAATGTTGTTGGATATTTGATTCACTTGTTCTAGATTTCATATTCTAGACCTGCGAAAATAACTCAGATATATCCAAAAGAAATCTCAGAAAACCAAATCAAATCTTGTCAATAAATAACAAACGCTGGCACCTGTTGCATCAAACTAAGATGTCATGATATTGTCTTCGACATCTGGTTGAAAAACACATAACAACACATCCTGTTATGAAAAACCAAGTTTTTCCAAAATTTAGCCAATCACAAAACCATGGTACTAATAATTATCTCACTACGAATTCACATAACCACTACATTCAATTTCTTGTTATGCAACTCACTAATTTATACGGCAACTCCCTAATTTCTTAGGCTAATTCAAGGTTAACTTAGGAATTCTAAGTGCGTTAATTCATTAGCAACAAATTCTAAATTCCTATTCCCGATTCCTTACAAAGTTGAATTAATTGCTTAGTTCAGATAATTAGACTAACAATAAAAAATTCCTAATTATCTAGATCGATTCTTACGCCTATAAGGGACAAAAAGAATTAAACACAAGAACAATTTAAATAAGATACTAACATTAAAAGTGCCCAAAAAATCTCAAGCATACATACGATCCAACTAAGTAAAAACACGGTTCATCTCAAAAAGTCATAATTTAGAGAAACTTAGCTACTCATTGATAAGATAACAAATACCATGAGTGGAGAAGTATTTATCATCAAAATCTATGGAAGAATTACCCTCAAATGGCTCTAATTTGCTCCAAAATCGCCATTTAAATTACCTTAGTCGTCACTTTCTCTCTCTGATTTGGAACCCTTAAAAAAGTAGCCAAACATTCCTTTAAATAGTAAAAGCGTGTTAGCTTAAAAATTACCATTGCGTCACGACTGCCACTATCGCGCCGCAATAGGATGTATCGTGGGTGCGAGAAATTCATTGGAAAATCACATAATTTTCTTCCTTTTTCTTAACAAATTTCACTAAATGCTTATTTCTTCTTTGTTTTAGATTTTATCTTCTTTTTTCACACTTTAGCTTTGATTTTGGTCAATATTTATCAAAATTCATCTGAATTTCCTCATAAAAATCATGTAATGAAGAATATCGTCAACAACAAAGGGAAAGCAATCTGAGGGGATTCTGGGAGAAGCAAAGAAGTTATTGCAGTACTAAGTGGCTATATTCTTGGTTTCAATAGTCGGACCCTCACTTCTTCATTTATCACATCTACACGAAAACACGATGGTTATCCTTACAAGCACTAAAAAGGGGCTAATTAATATAAAAAGAATTAAAGGAGTTTCAAACTTATTAAAGGAAATTAGAGATACTCGTGGGAGCAAGGTCTCGTCAGCAATGAAATGCTAATCATACGCTTCAAACATTTCCTGTCGGCCTCACCCGAGGGGACTCTGCCTCTAAGATAACTCAAGTTGTTGACAAAGCCTATCAGTCTCTTATTGTGATACCAGTCCTTATCAAACAAATCTACCTCTTAATAAACATACATCACATTATCCAAGAGAAAATGGCTCATTGACCATCAAGGATGAAACAATGGCTTACATTTACCTTTACTCATGGCTCGGTCTCGTACATGGTCGCATGAACCAGGGTATGAAGGAGAGTAACCAAAAAGAATCGATCTGTAAAAGGCGACAACTTGGGGAAGTCTTCAAAAACTCATATCGTCGGCACCAAAGAAACTAACTCTCGTTCTCTTGGTCAAGCCTAGGTATCGTGGGGCAGCAAAAAAAGATGAAAAACAAGGAGGTGGAAGGTTCCCCATTCAGATACTCACACCAATATCGTTAATCCTTTGCATACGCCCAACTCGAAGGGTAAAGTTTTGAAGAAGTCACCATCAAGTGATTAAAAATGCCAAACTCCAAAGCAATAAAGGGTAAGAGAACCCCTAGGGTTAAAAAGAGATATTCATAATGAAGGATCACTACGCCAAATAAACTATTTAATAGCATTTTTTATTTTTAATAATACTATTAACCGCACTGCTATTGTAAATATTTTTTGATTAATAGCACTTTAAAAGCGTTATTAAAGTACTAATTTTTAATAGTGTTTTTCCTAAATTGTTACTAAAGTGGGTTTTTTTTGCACGTTTTTTGATTTAATTTTGATAACACTTTCAAACTAAACGCTATTATAAAACACATATTTGATAGCATTTTCAAACAAAGCGCTAATATATAACACATGTTTGATAACACTTTTAAAGAAAGGACTAATATATGACACATGTTTGATAGCGCTTTCTCTTAAAAGTACTATTATAGGATTTTTCATTAATAGAACTCTCTATATAACACTATTGTAATACACTTTTTTTTTTGCTTTACACAAAATCATTCTTTTGGTGTGCAAATATAAAAAAGCTACATTCAATTCAATACCAAATAACGTTTTAAGTTACTCATTGCATAATAATATTATGATCCATCAATACCAAATAACATTTTAAACCAAATACACTTGTTTACAAATATCATAACACATATAGAGGGCATTTAATGTACTAAAAAATAGAGCTCATTTGCATAGCCAAATTTGTAGATGCATGCATTCCAACTAAGAGTACTTCAATCCAAATCTCAAAGCAAACAATCATATTCTCTAAACAAAACACCTAAAAAAATAAGAAAGAACAACAAAACAACACCAAGTAGTAACCACACTTCACGAACAAAAGCGTTGAACCCACAAATACAATCACTTAGCTAGGCAAAATAACTGCTTCTTGTTTTTCTGTATCATAGAAGGAATATTGATTATGTATTGTACAATAAAAATTAATTCAAAATATAAAGAGTAATCAAACATTCGCTATAACTAAACCAAGAAAGGAAAATAATATGTGTAAATTTGGATAATATCTATGTGTCCATATAAGAAATTATGCAGGTACTTAACCAAATAAAACTACATAAATTTCTCATTAATAAGAAATAATCAGAGGATAACAATATAAACTACTAGCATTTTACTGTTCTATTCCCATATGCATATACGCACATGTTGATTAAAATAATATTTGGTTAACAATGCCAATATACACAATCATGATTAATACCACTAACCAAACTCAATAAAAAAACAGCAACCACTATTTTGAACTAGGTGTTACAAATGTTATCTATGTTCTAAACACTGTTTTTATTCCCTTTCTATATCATCAAATTTGTCTTATCATGAGAGTAAATATCAAGTCAAGGAAAAACTCACCAAAACATCATCCACAACATAAGTAGCCCAATCCTCCTTGACCTCGGTTAACTTATCACGAGAGTAGGTAAGACATTTATGGTCAGAAAAGTACTTCAAATATAAAAACTTTAACAATGAATTGTGTTAGAATTAAATTACATTAATTTACAAAATAATAATAATTAAAATCACGTACATTTACGAGGATCATAATTTCATTTTCCATGATGACCTCTTCCATAAATCGCATTACAAAATATCCACACTCAATGCTATTAATTTGACGGTGACACTGCAAAAAAACATTTACATCGATTAATTTTACTCTACATAATTGTTTAAAAATAACATTAATTTGGACATACCTTGATTTTTTGCTTTGAGATTTTCTTTGACTTAGACACTTTAGGCACTTTAGAATTACTATTAGCACGATAAATTTGCAAAGCGCTAACAAAATGAAATTAACTTCAAATGAGTAATTATTATAAATAATAATAATATATATATATATATATATATATATATATATATATATATATATATATATATATATATATATATATATATATATATATATATATATATATATATATATATATATATATATATATATATATATATATATATATATATATATATATATATATATATATATATATATATATATATATATATATATATATATATATATATATATATATATATATATATAATGTTAAATTAAAAGAGTCTATACTCACTTCTCAAACTTTGTTTTTAAGTTTTAATGTTTTGTAAGCTTACCATTCAACGGATCCATGTAATATATCACCTCAGCATCAGAATTGATGATAAAGAACGCCCAATGTTTCCTGCACCTAACATTTAAATATTGCAATAAAAATTCATATTCAATAGAGTTTGTTCTCGTTAATTTAATAACATTTTGAATAGAGATCTCACCCTAAATTGCAAGATGTAAGAATCATCTTATCCTTGAACTCCTCATCTTTCAAGAGTATTTTTGCTATAGCATTTTCTAGATTATCCTCCCGTTGATACATGTGGGGATATGAAGGAGAACTTATTTATTAATCCATTTAGACTAATAAACTTGTCATACAGATAATACTTAGAAATGAACGACAACAATTGATATTAATATATTTGTCAAAAATGTAAATATTACCCAACAATGTAAATAACATTAATATTAATATATTTGTCAGATTAGAGAACATTTGTAATAATAGAGGTACATGGCAAATACAGTGATAATAAGAGGCACTTAACCAATTGTGATCAAGAATCTCTTTTATACTCTCTACACGTAGCTACTCTAAAAACTCCTCACCAAATATATTTTCCTCCATTTCTATTTGAATAAACGATCCAACCCTCATCATCTTTTTCACATACATATCAAAAAAAGGTAAATTTGCAAGACCAGTTGAACCGCCAACTCTAGGAGACTCTTCAATTTTTTCTAATTACGGAAACAAAAGTTGGTCCATGTGATATTGTGAAATGTTCTGCAACTTTGACTAATATTTATAGTTAAATTGGAGTGTCTATGAGACAAAAACCTGTTTTTAAAAGGAGAAGGATTAGATTCATCCATACTATCTTCAAGAAACAAAAGCTAACACATATTAAGAAACAATATAAAGTTGAAGGATTAGATTCACCAATACTATCATCAAGAAACAAAAGCTTAGACATATTAAGAAACAAAATGAAGTTGAAGTCTAAAGCTTGGACATAGTTATGAAAGAGTGAACAAACCATATAATAAAGTGTGTTTTTTTATTGAAATGTTTCCCTCACATACTAAAGTTGGTCCACGAGACACACCACTGCCCGATATTTTGTGTACCAAGCACTGCCAAATGATGGTGAGTCGGTGGCTGACGAATGGATTTTGTTCGTTCTTTCTTTTCGGTGAAACGGTGGTGAATCGATGAAACGAAGGAGGCTGACGGTGGTGAATCGATGAAACGAAGGAAGGACTGGCGTCGGTTGGGAGAATCGATGAAAGATAGGGTTATCTATGAAACGAACGAAGGAAGTGTTTAAGTTTTTGGCGGTGAGTGGCCAAAATATGTGCACCAAAATGAAAATTATCTGCCAAAAATTAATATTCTTTTCTTTTTTATTTTATTAATCATATATTATAAAAAATAGCGCTTAACATGAGGTAGTAAAAATTATAGCGTTTTATAAAAAAGCTTTATCTTAATGAAGAGTATTAATAGCGTTTTAAAGAAAGTGTTATCTTAGTGAAGTTTAATAATAGTATTTTGTCATTCAGTGCTATTAAAATTACATTGTTTGTATTCTATAATAGCATTCAATCATAAAGTGTTATTGTAGATATGTTTTTTTTCCTTTTTAATAGTATGTTCTTTAAAATTGCTATTAAATTAGGTGATACATAAAATTAATTTTGGCGTAGTGGATGGTGCATGGTGCAGTCACCATATTCGTTGTATATGCTATTATTTTCACTAGGAGTGGTGGAACCCCAATGCAACGGTTCCCTCACTTTTATTATGATTGAGAACTCATGCTCAATTCAATTGAGAATAGCAAGGAAGGATTTGGGTTTGGACCTTGGTGGGTTAGGAATTGGACTTGGTGCAGGAGTAGGTTTGGGAATTGGAGGTGGTAGTGGCTCTGGAGCCGGAGCTGGAGCAGATTCTGGCTCTGGTTCTAGTTCTTCTTCAAGTTCATCGTCATCTTCGTCTTCTAGTTCTGGGTCAGGGTCCGGGGCAGGCTCTGAAGCAGGCTCATACGCAGGATCTCGAGCTGGATCAGGATCAGGCAGAAGTCGCGGTAGAGGTGGATGTAGAGGAGGTGGTGGTGGAGAAGGTTCTGGGGATGGGTCTAGCTATGGTGAAGGTGGTGGGGGTTAATTAAGGAAATACCTTAATGAATTGATTAATAAATGTGTATATGTATAACGAGAGCTTATACCGTGAAGTCGCACAATTGACTTTTTAATGATGTCACTTTAATCATCCAATAAAAGGAAAAAAAACGCTAACTCACATCAGCTTTATGGTGTAATAACTTTACACTGGATCCTTTTTAAAAAAAAAATAATTCAATTATTGTATATCAGTCCTCATTCACTTAATAATAATTTACAAATTAAAAATAATTTTTATTAGATTTTAATGTTTTTTAAACACAAATCATTCATTTTTCGAATTTTTTTTATTAATAACCATGTATTAAAATAATATTTCGCAAATAACCGAGTTTCGGAAAAAATTACGCAAATAACCATGTTTCAGATGACTCCCCAAAGGAGGAGCCATTTCACTTTGCGCCTCCACCTAGGGTTTTGCCCTAGGCGCCATCTCACTTGGCGCCTCCCTTGGCTTTTAGCCAAGTGAGATGGCGCATGCTCCTTAAAAGTGAGAGGAGGCGCCATCTCACTTGGCTCCCAGGGCAAAACTAGGGCAAAATGTTGTTTTATAAATAATTCGTCCGTTTCTCCGAAATTTCTCACACTTTCTCGCACTGTATTTTTATTTTGTACTCCGTTATTTGCGTCATGACGTCGCCTATGATTTTTAGCAGAGATGGTTACGTTATCTTCTCCGCCACGAAACCTGCGATGAAAATGAAATTCTGGCACATTCACTCCATGGAGCGTCTGAAGCGGGAGTTGATGCGGTGGCTAGATGGAGACATTGCGGAGGGGGAAAAAATTCGAAGGATCCAGCGAAAACGAACAACAACCACTACGAAAATATATGTCCCCAGCGACATATATTAGCGACGTGCTTATCACGTGGGTAGTAGCGACGTGATAACCACGTCGCTAATATATTTTAATGACATTTAATGCAAATTTGTGAACGTTTTTCAGGGGGAAATTTGAATTTTTGTAGCGACGTGATAGCCACGTCGCTATATTTTTGGGGGAAAAATATATTTCGCTGATGACAGAGTTGCAGGGTTGGAGAGAGAATAATATTTATGTTTAGTTTGTAGCGACGTGATTATCACGTGGCAACGTTGCGACGTGACAGTCACGTCGCTACTAGAAGTTACATGTTCAAAATTTTCATTTACAGAAGCGTGCTTTCTTCTTCCTTGCTCCTCTCTCAAACACATTTTTACAGCAACTTCCTCACAAACCCATAATTCTTCCTCTCAAACCCAATTTCCCGAATCAAATTTCCTCCATCCCAATTTGTTGAAGAAAAATAAGGTATTCATATTTTTGATAAATGTTTATTTCGTTTGTTCATTATTTATTATACTGGAATGAAATGTTAAAAATGGTATTTGTTCGTTTGTTCATTATTATTTGTAGAGAAATTTGAAGAACACCAAGAACTATCCAAGAACACGCAAATTTATTGAAGAAATTATATAGAGGTATTTATGCATTTTTTTTTAGATTTTATATGTATTATATAGATTAGATTTGTATATGTATTTTGTGGTTAGGAAGTATATATGTATTTTATTAGTAGTATATATGTACTGATAATAAAAAATTTTAGAAAACATAAAATTAAAATTTTTTTTTTTATAGATGTATATATATATATATATATATATATATATATATATATATATATATATATATATATATATATATATATATATATATATATATATATATATATATATATATATATATATATATATATATATATATATATATATATATATATATATATATATATATGTTAACAAATATACTTGTTCAGATTGCATATTTTTTAATAACATATTTAATATATTTTTTAAAAAATTTTTAGAAAACATAAATTTAATAACATATTTAATAACATATTTTTTATAGATGTATATTATATTTATTATAATAGTTTTATTTTTTTATTTATATGTTAAAGATATGGAAAAAAAATTATATATTAAAATAAGAATTTATAAAAAACATAATTAAAAAAAGAATATATATATATTATATTATTATTTTAATATTATTGTTATATATATAATAAAAAGTATATATGTTACATTATTTGTTTTCTAATATTATTGTTGTATATATAATAAAAAGTAAATATGTTATATTATTGTTTTTTGATATTATTGTTATGTAATAAAAAATTATATATTTTACATTTGAATATTTATTTATATGTTAGTATATATATAAAAAAGCAAAATTTATATTTTTAAGAATAGTATTAAATAGTTTAAGAATAATATTATTAAGTTGATTAATATTTCTAATGAAAAAGACAATGATTGTATAAATGTGCAGTATGGAATATTATCGGTATTATCGCAGTTGGATGTACGATAGAACATATCCAGGAAGAAGTGGACTTAAACCCAATTTTATAGTAGGAGTTGATGGGTTTATTAAGTGGGCGTTTGCTCAGGATTGTTGTCGAAGCGAAGGAGGGGTTAGATGTCCCTGTCTTAAGTGTGAATGTAGACCAATAATTAGTGACCCAGAGGAAGTAACACGTCATCTGCATAGAAGGGGATTCATTGAAAATTATTGGGTTTGGACGTATAATGGTGAAGAACTACCGGTTAATGTACCAGAGACTAGCAACACGCATGCTTCAAGTAGTCGACCGGTTATGGAGTATGAGGAGAACTTTAATTTGATCGGTAACATGGTTGAGGATGCTTTTGGTGTGAACGTGACATATGATGAACCTGAAGATTTTGACGGGGAAGAGTTGCCGAATGAGGAAGCGCAAAGATTTTATCAATTATTGAACGAGATGAATACGCCGTTGTTTGAGGGGTCGTCAGACTCGAAGCTATCAATGTGTGTGAGATTATTGGCCGCCAAGTCAAATTGGAATGTTTCTGATCAATGTCTGGAACATTTTGCAAAAATGATGTTGGACTCCACCGCTACGAAAGACAATTTGCCTACAAGTTATTATGATGCAAATAAGTGGGTGTCGAAGTTGGGTTTAAAAGTAAGGAAGATTGACTGTTGCATTAACGGTTGCATGTTGTTTTATGACAATGAGTTTGGTACTCAAGATGGATCGTTAGAGGAGTGTAAGTTTTGTAATAGTCCAAGATATCAAGTTCGCAGTAGAGCCGTTAACAGCAAGCAAAAGCGTGTAGCAGTAAAATCCATGTTTTATCTTCCTATAATACCAAGGTTAAAAAGAATGTTTGCTTCAATGCACAGTGCAAGTCAAATGACATGGCATCATACAAACCAAACAAGTTCTGGCACTATGCGACATCCATCTGATGGTGAGGCATGGAAGCACTTTGATCGGACACATCCAGATTTTGCTGCAGAACCTAGAATGAGAAAATTATAGAAAAAATCTATTATAGCAGAACTTCTAGAAGATTTTCTGATATAATGCGGCGGGTTATGGAGAATTATGAGCTGCATGGTATCCGTCCTAACTGGATAGGCGTAGAGGTTTTTGGCGAACTTCGTACATATTGGGGTTCGCCAGAATTCAAGGCCAAATCCGAAAATTTTAAGAAGATGAGGGCATCCGAAAAGGGGGGATGTGTCAATACTGTTGGAAGTATTAGCACTGCAGAGCATGTCCGGCGGATGGTAAATATTACTAATTTTTTAAGTTATATATATTTTTATTCATAATATTTTTTACTAATTATTTTTAACTTTATTGTTTAGACTAAGGAGATGGGGAGACCACCATTGATCATTGAGTTGATTACGAGGACTCGGACAAAGAAATCGGGAGGTTTTATCGACGACCGCACCCAGAAAGCTTTTGTAAGTAATTAAACTTATTTTTTTTTTAAGTTAATAACAAAAATAGTGACGTTATTTCCACGTGGCAATCTATAAGTTGTGGCGTGATTATCATGTGGCAACTGATAAATTGCCAGGTGACTGATTTTCATGTGGCAACTGATACATTGCCACGGGAAACTCACGTGGCAATTCATAAGTTGATTTGTGAAAATCACGTGACAAATTTTTAATATATTTGAATTTAGCATAATTTAATATATAAATGTTTTAATTTTTTTTTAATTGTATTATTTAATGTATGTGTAGGATGATTATCAGACATTGCTAGCACGTTTTCTGGAACACAATCCGCAATATAGGCCAGCAGAGGGGGAGCCGCTTAATGGGGATGTTGATTTCTATATTTGGAATGAGGTTGTTAATGGAAAAGGGCCTAATGGTTGCTTTTTTGCGGGAGGAAATTTGGCCGCCGGCTTGAGAGTTGGTGATCGTAATCTGTTTCAAAGACTTAGAGATGGAGAAGGGGGGTCACGTCAACCCAATCTGACTCAGGTTCAACTTGAAACAGTACGACAATTGGCGGCCAGTGAAGTGAGACGCGAAATGGAGGCCCAAATGACGACAATGAGGCAAGAGCAGGAGCGTCAGTTAGAGATCATGCGGAAGCGGCAATCTGATATGGAGGAGCAGATGAGACAGTTTATGCAAGGCGGTCGAAATCAAAATGTTCCTGATCATACACAGCCGGATGATGACAGACTTGATGACT